ACCCCCACCACACAAAAACAGGGCTTGCGCTGTACCTTCCTGCAAACCCAAGTTAAAAAGGTCACAACCTACATCCGACAGGTACACCCCATCTGCTCGAAAGTACCCGGGTAACTTTTCCTCCAATTCCCGATGGCGCATCAATACCCCTCCTAACCTACGAACAAACACCGCCATGGTCTTGTTCACCTTACCCCGACATCGAGCAACTGCAGCCGAATCCCTGGCATGTCTCCAGCACAATCGAGGCACCATCTCCGACCATACCACTTTTACGCCCGGGATCATCCCCCGCAGTCGATCCACACCCTGCTTCATTCGTTTAACCAGTTTACGTTGGGGGACCAAATCTAAGTCGTTTCCCCCCCCCCATGAACTACTACCACATTTGGTAAAGCCTCCTTCGCAACCTTTTGAAACATCGCTATACTAATGTGCTGTCAATCAAACCCCCGATAACCAAACCAGGATAACGCCACCCGTTCCACAGGAAAGCCCAGCTGTGTTCCGTTTCTTCGAACTGCGGCCCTCTTCTGTGCTCAATAGATATACGAATGGCCAATTATCCACACCGTCCAACCTAAAAGAAAACACAACAGCGAAAAAGCAGCATATACTCCCCCAAACTCTCCCCACATTGTCCACCTCCTCACACAAGTCTATCCGGCCGCACATACGAGCGGAACCTTAGAGATTCCCATCTCCCGATCCGTTTAATCCGCTCATCTCCTAAGCCCAAGCGTGCCGCTTCAGTCGCTGCACCTATACAGAATGAATGTGTTCCGAACTGCATAGGCTCCAGTCCTAACTTCTGTAAGCCCAAACGGAAAACCCGCACAAATTGGAAGCGCAACAGCGCTGTTCCGTCAGCATGTATAAAGAAACATCCTTTCACCTACGGTCAACCCGGCCCCACTCGCCACTGGACACAACCCAGACCCCGGTAATTCAAACAACGTGACCATGGAACCTTTCCCGAAGACATCCGTCTTTGAGCGAACCAGTCATATCTTTACCCTGTCCCCACCAACTGTCACATCTTCCAACCTGAGCCCGCCAACCCCTTTCTTGTTGGCACTAACCAATTCCCCTATCCCCAATCCCCCTATCCGAAACGCCCCAAAAAAGGCCCATGAAAACGCTGCCGAAAACAACGCCACTTCGAACGTGGAAAACATATCTCAGGTAGCTTGCCTATCAACCCTTGCAATACCGTGAACAAAACTGGCCTTCTCATATCTCTTCTTACCCTTCTTGAATCCCCGTACCGCTTGCCTCACTATAAAATGCTTCGTCACATCATCCCAGCCATTGAACTTGAACAGGAATGCTAACGCTGACAAGTGCCTATCCACCATCGACGGCGATGATTGGTTAGTTTTAACCAAGGCAGCATCGCACCTACCTTCACCGGTGACACCCCCAGCCGCAGTTGCTGTAGCGGAGCGGCAATATTTAATCCCACAAACTCCGCTGGTAAAGAAGGTAATCCACAGTCAAGCGCTGAAAAGTAAGGCAATATCCCAAATCCCCCAGTAACCCGACAAAACACAGTTCTGGGAGTCAACTGAGGTTTTTATTCACAGCATCCAGTATTTATGCAAGTCCCCATGCAAGGGGTTTCCATACTGACATAGTAGGGGTAATACAGTAGGGGACTACATGGGGGACTTAACATTCAGACCTTTTCTCCCATCAGGCACTGCTGCACGAGAGGGATACTCCCACTGGAATATACCGTTAAGTGGATTATCCCTCCGTGCAGCAGAACCGACAATTTACATTAAAATATATAACTTTTCGAATACTTGGCAGATTTAAACGAATGGACGTTCGGTAGATAGCTGTGGTCTGAGTGCATAGTTTGTGAAATACCGCTCAGATCTCAGCTAAAACAACCGAACGCTGCACGAAACACACTTTGCCATTGAGTTCGCCCCAAAGTACCGAACACCGATGGGGAACCCTAATAGCGAAAGACTGGAGCTCCCGAACGGCCTGGAAGTCCAGCGGTGTTCGCACCGTCGAGTAGCCGTTTTTAGTTCCACACGCTCGACGACCAAACACCGCTGGGGAGACAAAGGATCCAAGATGGCCGACCGCCACGTGGTCGGTAGCCGAACGACGGCCACCCAGGAAAGCCTCTAATTAACATTGTTGCAATCGGTTAACGAGCGCCACACGTCCCTCTCTGTGTGGGCTATTAGGGGGTAGCTCATTCGGTTCACGAACAGCCCGCAATGGTGCTGTTTGTGAAACGAAACACATGAATGCTAGCAGCTTACGGCAGCTAGCATACGAATTCAATACAGCATATAATAACACACAGGATACAGCCTTTTTATATACATAGTCCAGATTATTAAAAGTGGCTAGGTTTGCCACAGTTGCGGTGGCTGTTGCGCCGGTGGCCCCCTCTCCCACGTTCGGCTTACCTTTCTTAAAGCATCTTGAGATTACCCCCGCAACCGGAGCACTCATGCTTGAATCTGCATGACGCACCCCATTTGCATTGGCCCTCATTATAGAGCCAGCAGAAACCCTTCTTCTGACCTGCCGACACGGTCCCGCTCGAGCCCGCGCCGGCCGCTCCAAGAAAGGGGGCACTCTTTTGTGCCATCATCAGCCTCATCCACAGCGGCAGGTCCATCTGGTCCCACCGCATTGACAGGTTTGCTGCTAACCGTTGACGAAATTGTTCGTCATATTTCCACCATGCTAGTCCCCTGTAGGTCCGATAGGCGTCTCCTATCCCGTCTAGATAACAAAAGAGCTGCGAACAACGATCTGGGTACTTTTCCCCGATTACACTCGCTAAGATACAAAAGGCCCTCAACCAGTTCCCAAAAGTCTTGAGTATCTTCCGATACCTCCGCCTTTTTTCCTCTTCCTCTTTCTTTGCATCCTTCTTATCCTCCTCTTTCAAGTCTAAAAACTCTTCCAGGGGAAGCAGTGAAAATATTTCCACAAAGTCCCTTTTCCATATTTTATCCTTAACCTCCGCCTTTAAGTGACACCCCAGCTGTCCCGCGAAAGACACGTGCACGTTTTGCCGCGCTGCATCCGATACTTCCCCTCATTGATCTACATGCTCACCTGCACCTTCCGTCGTTCCTAGACCCGGTTCTGTGGCACCCTCACCCACCTTGGTCGCCGCCGCCACTGCGGGCCTAACCCCCGCCTCCCAACCGCCTTCCGCAGCCCATACTCTCTCGAACTGTGGTGGCGACCCCCCGTCCCCTGACCATGATTCTAATAGCGATCTTAAACACCCAAGTAGACTCCCCGAGTGTGGTGCAGTTGGTGACTCACCGCTTAGGCCCCCGGCCGCTGCTGGCTGCGGGGGCGCCATCCTTTCTTCCGCCTCGACCGGCTCAGAAGTAACCAGGGGACGCCGACTCCTGCCCGCCTGTTCATGTTTTGATCTCGTGGGTGTCCTACTCATTGACCTGCAAGGAGAATACAGCCTGGGTGGTCTGTTCGACTGCAGCCTCACCCGCCCTTAATCCCTGCGCTCTGACCTGTCATCCCAACTTCCGCACCCATGCATTGTTCGTTCATCCCGCTCGCTTCCTCTCCTCCTATGAGCAGCGTAGCTCCTCTCTGATGACCCTGACTCACTGCGCCGATGCCTTCACCACCTGTCCTTGGAATTGGACCTTCTCCTACTGCTCCGGCTCCCTGCTGGGCTCCTGTCCCCTTACCTCACACTGCCTTCGGATTCCTTCCTGCTGCCTTGCCAGTTCGCCCCTCCATGCTGGGTTCCCCTGTATTCCCTTCTGCTGGCGCTCCTCCTATCCCGATGTTCCTGGGAGTGACCCCTGACGGCCTCCCGCTCACCGCTGTCCCGAAAGCCTCCTTCCTCCCGGCCAGTCACCTGCCTCCCGTCTTCCTCCCTGCCTTCTCTCCCGATTGCCTGCCTTCATTCCACTCCCGACTGCCGCTCCTCCCTTCTCTCATGTCCCCAGCAAACCTGGCGCTGTTCCCTTCTCTAATTCCTCCTACGACCCTGGCCATACTCCTCTGTTCCCTCTCATCTTCAGCACCTTCTGTCCTGTGTCTAACGCCAGCTGCCTCCTGCTGTGCCCTGCTGTCCTGGTCCCCTTCCCTGTCCTGTGAGACCGCAGTCTTGCTGCTGCCTGCACTTCTCTCTCCACCCTGCCCCTCAGTGCTGCCCCCAGGGGGCGACTCACTGGGACGCCTTGGGTTGCTCCTGGACCTTGCTGCTGCTGTCCTCTCCTCCTTCTCCAATCTGGCACCGGTTGTCTTAGTCACCTGCCCGCCCGCAACCATCCGACGACCCGCTCCTCCTCGCTTTCCGGCCGCCATCTCCTGCATCTGTGGATTGCCTCCCGCCAAACTCCTCCTCCGTTGTGCTGCTGGGCCTGCTCCCAGACTGAGCCGCTGGGGCGGTCTTGCTCTTCTCTCTGGCTCCGGTCCGGCACCGCATGGGGGGATCAGACGTGCTTGGGAGTGCTCCTGCAGCCACGCCATACCCTTCTCCTTCACCACCGACCGCACACCCGACAAAATCTACTCCAGGGAAGCCATGCTGCACTTGAAAAAGAAGAAAAGAAGAGCCCTGCCAACCTGCACAATTCACAGGTAACTAAGGCTCAAGTTAAAATGGCCATACCCTAAAATGGCCGCTGGGGACTAAAGGAGGAGCATGTCTATCATGCTCCCTTGCTGTTCCCACAATTCTCAGCATAGCATACTGTGCTGGGAATTGTGGTAACCGAGAGAGAGCATGATAGAGAGACATGCTCTCTCCTCCTTCAGTCCTCAGCCTTAGAGACAGGAGTGCCGCCGGACTGGCGAGGCTGCCACCCGGCCTGGCGGCTCCAGCGTGGAACGCAGCCGGCCCCCCAAGAGTGTGCCACCAGACCGGCCACCCGGTGGCATCTACCTTTGCAGCCCCCAGATGCCGCGGCCCACCAGGAAATATCCTGGTATCCCGGTGGGCCAGTCCGACCCTGCATGGAGTACCCTGTGGGCACTGTGGGATGTAGCGTGAGGCTGATTCAGCCGTTAGAGTATGAGAGCGTACTCTCGTGGGCAATGTAAAGTTGCCTTTGTTGCTACCGTAAATCTCATATCCAGCATCTCTTCCATCCGATGCATGCAGGAAGCGGTTAGAAGTCCTGGAAAAGTCCTGTGAGTGCAGTCTCTGAGCTAGGGTAACTCTTGGGTGCAAGGGGATGACCTGTGAGTGCAATGTAAATGCTGGGGTGAGTCCTTGGTGCTGGGTCAAGTCCTGAATGCTAGGGACAACACTCACAACCTGTGAGTGTTGTCTAAATGCTGGGGTAAGTCCAGGGTGCTGGGGCAAGTCCTGTGAGTCTGTGAGTGCAACCTCAGTGCTTGTGCAAGTCCTGTGACTGTGATCTCCGTGCTGAGGCAAGGCCTGTGAGTGCAAGTCCTGTGTGTGCAATCTCAGTGCTGTTGTAAGTCTTGGGTGCAATGGCAAGTCCTGTGAATGCAGTCTCTGTGCCAGGGTAATTTCTAAGAGCTGGGGTAAGTCCTGTGAGTGCAATCTACATGCCAGGGAATGTTCTGTGTGCTGGGATAAGTCATGTGAGTGCAATCTCAGTGTTGAGGTAAGTCCTAGGTGCTGAGGCAGGTTCTGTGAGTACAATCTCCATGCTGGGACAAGTCCTGTGAGTTTTAACTTTTTCATGATTGAGGGGGGGCGAGCGCCAATACAGCTCCTCGCCAAGGGTGCTAGAGACCCTAGTTACGCCTCTGATGGAACACCAGATGCTTACAATGAGAAGCCTGGTGAATTTACACATTTGCAGAAGCCACCTCGGCCTCTGGACTACCAGCGACGATGTCACTGTCGGGGGTCTCTGCAAATTTTGCAAAGTCCTCTAGTGGGGACAGTGCTACTTTAAATATTAGATTTTTGAATGAAAATGGAAGTAAATGATTAATGAATGAGACCAATATGTTTCCTAAGTTTCCACGGCCAGGAAACTTTAACCTGATAGTAACACAATTTGCTGGCATGGGTGGAAAATGACTTTCTCAACTCTAAGAACAAGTTATTTCATAATACTGGATTAATTTTAATTATGCAATAAGTGATAAGGCATATGTTATGAAGAAATAATGCAAATCACATCCAAATTAATGGATCTCTGGAAACATGTATGTGAAGTTACTGTACATGTATATATTTTTTTAATTTTAGAATATAAGGAACTCTTGTTGCAGGACATTTCTTCCAAAGATATCCTTAACTTTGACATGTTTAATAATTTCAGTTTATTTCTGTACCTAGTATCTCTTGCTAGTTAACAAGTATTTAAATGTTTAATAAATAAACATACACCCATACAAGTAACATGTAATGCTTCTGTTTAAATGAAAACACACTTAGTGAGATTAATCATGGCAAAGCAAGGAATAGAAATGGTGGTGGTAAAGCAACTGCTGCATGAGTATTCACTAAAACGTAAATCTCAATTGCCAAATTTATGCAAAAATAGATGGTCTGGAAAAATGTTTACAGCTCAGTGGCATCATAGCTCGACTATTTTTGTCTAGAATTTGCAGTTTGGATTTCAGTCTGGTACAGTTCAGAGTTTAGTGAATAAACCCATTAGTTTCTTACCTGAATTCATCACTTATTAATACCGTGACCGTGGCAATTTTAGATAATTTGAAAGTTATGATAGCTGTTTGCTTCGAATCTGCTAAAAAAAATATATAAAAAAAAAAAATATATGTATATATAATCTAAAATTGTATCTTTCAAAATAGCCAAACTGGAAGCATAGCTGATTTGGAGAATGTTTCAGATTCAGCTATTTTGGAAGTTCACTTTGAATTCACTTTGAATTCCTGACAATCTTCACTTAAGTGAATAACCCTATAATACTTGGCCCTGGTCATCCACAGTCCAACTATTACTGGAAGTATGGCCAAGGCAGCGATTAAACACATCCTTCCTCTCATAACCATTCATACTGGCAATGATTGTCTGTGATAGACTTAAGGCGCTTAGCTGAAACTCTTGACCAATCACAGCTGCTTATTGCTACTTAGGTTAATGCTTCCTCATTAGCCCAAGGAGAATTAAAACATTGAATTTGGCTAAATGCTGATGGAAAAACAGCGCCAAGGGACTCAAGACACTATAGCCACTTCAATGAGTCAAAGAGTACAGTGTCTCTTCAAATAAATCATTTTTCATCCATGTCACACCAGTCTCATCACTGCTGCCGCTCTTCCCATGGCTCGGCCAATCCAATACTGCGCCAGTCGACATTTCCTCATAGCTCAATACATCTTTATGGGGAGCTTTCAGTGACTTCATGCAAAGCCTGAGGC